TTTTATTTTTTCTACCTAATTATTTCATCAGACAGTTAACTAGGTAGTTAAATTTTTTAAATATTAGGAAACCGTCTCTTTTTAGATAGGCACTTAATTTTTGTAACAATTTATTATTTCTGGGAAAATCAGTTTAAAATTTAAATAAAATACCTATTGCATAGTTGTATAATAATAAGTATTAAGTATAATGATTGTCATTTGTCAGACTATGTGATAAGAACATCTCATTGACATACCAAAATTAACAATATGATTGTTGGTACCTAGGTCAAGGCAAAATGTGTTGAAACGTGAGTTCAAAATGTTCGAATAATGATTCATATAGGAGTTTAATTATTTTTGGTTTTGTCTTCAGTTATCTCCATAACTGTTTTTTTTATTGAGTTTAGGTCTCCTAGGAGTATTGTTGSCTAATAATCGAATAGTACTTTTTTGGATTTTTTATTGAGTCAATTATATTATTTGTCCATACTCCATATTATCTCATTGACCAAGTGCAAAGGACAAATTACGAATTTTTAACGTAGGTACCTATATTGAGCATATTGATAATAAAGACTATGGTACAGTGGTTCCCAATAAACATTGAGCCACGGACGCCTAGCTTAAACTTAAATTGGATGAGGGACCTCTTATTTGTGATCACTTTAAAATTTTGTTTAATTATAAAAATGAAAAAAAAAATTATATATAATACATTAATTGTCGACCCTTTTAGCGATAGTCGAGYTTCAATAGTGATTGCGCAAAATACCTGGAACTTCAAACCAATACGTGTTTAAAAATTTTACTAAAATAAAATAAAAATATCACTTCAGTACAACATAACACGGACCCCCTAACACTCGGTTCACCAATTGGGAACCACTACTATAGTATGTACTAAGTACAAAATATGTACAATGTATATTTATAATTACTAGAACGAATATTAAAACCATAAATTGAGTAAACTATAACAGTGTCAGTGTTAAAATAAAATTCGTGATTAAAAATATTAATTTTAATATTACATTTATTACAAGTCTATATTAATAATTTCGTACAGAGTTACTTTTCGAAAAATATACTTTTCATTTTTATAATATGCAATTATTGCGTAGTTGCAATACACATATATCAATAATATTGTGAAACGATAATGCGATGTATATTATATAATCGATTCGAAGCTCTTGGACAATATAAAAATATAAATACATGGGCAATCAGTATGGCGTAGCCACAAGTATCTACTTACATTCAAACACATACTTTATACTTATTAGATAAAGCATTTAAAGTATTAGATTGAATTACTAAACAAGAAATCAT